CCCGTAATAATGTATACAGCCAGCTTTCTTTTCTTAACCTGCTTTTCAGTTAAGATCTGTGAAGGATTTTAATTCTCATTAAAAGCCATGATAATTGCAGCTGGTAATATTTAACTATTAAATTCACCTTGGGATAAAGAAATAATGGACTCTAAATTATAGCTTTTAGTCTTGGAAGGATTTTAGAAATTGTCTAGGCCAGTAGCTCCTGATGTTTTTAAGTATAAGAGTCCTTTTAAATGTCAAAACATTTTGTGACCCTCAAATGATAGTAGGTAAAAATTTAGTATCAGTTGATAGAGAATATTCATAATAACCAAAAGCTTCTATAGACCTAAGAACTATATTTTAAAATAGTTGCATATTTACAAATCATATAATCTACATGCATGCGAAAATTCTAGTACATAAAATGCAAGCAATTTTTTATTCAGTCTACAGACAATACATGGTGCCTTTCTTACCTAGTGCTGCTGTAACAGAAGTACCACAAGTGGGCTTTAACGAACAGGTTTATTTTTTCACAATTTAAGAGATCAGAAGTCCAAATTCAGGGCACCGGTTGTAGGGGAAGACCCTCTTTCTCTTTGTTCTGGTTGAAGATCCTGTCTCAGCTTCTCTAGCCCTGGAGTTCCTTGATTCCTTGGAGATCTCCACAGCGGCATCTATCTTCCCCCCATTTGTATTTGCTTGTCTCTATGCCTAAGATGTTCTTTTTATCTCAAAAGTGATTAGGTTTAAGACACAACTACCCTGATATGGCCTCATTAATATAACAAAGAAAACCCAATTTCCAAATGGGATTACATCTACACGTTTTGGGGTTAAAATTCCAAAGCATATTTTGAGGGGGGCACAATTCAGTCCATAACAGTGTGTATGTAAATTCATAGCTTCTTTGCAATAGCTCAGCAGCCCCACAGGGGAAAAAAGGCACAAAGAATGGGAACCACTGGTTTCTTTTGGTCCATTTCCCTGCGTTTACCCCCAGCTTTTCTCCCCAATTTTTACATATGAGAAAACCAAGGTCTGAAAAGATTAAGTACCTTATGTGGGATCACATGTTAGTTAGTTGCAATTTTTTTTTCTGTATTGAAATATAAGAATTGTGGGAGTTGAGTTGATAAGTAGATTGAAAGAATAAGCACAACTCCCTCAGGGACCAGCTTATTGCATGAGAATAATTGAATTATTGAGGAGTGTCTTATACAGCAGACATTGTTCAATAGGCAAATAGTTTTGAAACCAGGTACTACTTTGAAACACCAAGAAGATATGTGGAGAAATCTGTTCACAAAAATATTTTTGTTTGCATATGCTGTGATAAATTGATTTCAGGATTTTTTCATATTTTCCTGACTTTATTCTGGAAGAATAAACTTGAAAAAGAGTAGTGTTCAAAGATTGGAAGCTATACTTGTCAGTATGCTTACTGTGCTTCTCATACCAGCTTTGCTTATATATACACACATCTACAGATGATTAATTTCCTTCCCATACATGAAGGTCTAGAGAAGAAAATTCTACAACTGCCTTTAATAGCCTGCTGCTGTGTTTAATGAGACTTAACCTATCCTTGCTATCAAGAAATTCATCCTTGTGTTTATCTGAACTGAATTTCTGTTTGCTCTCTTAATGTTTGTGGTAAAGATAGTTATGCTCCTCTGGCAAGGTAGTGTTGCCTGGTGACCCACAGTTTGAGCTCCTGAGTCACACTGCCTGCTGTGGTGTCCTGGTTGAGCTCCAGAGTCACACTGCATACTGTGGTGTCCTGGTTGAGCTCCAGAGTCACACTGGCTGCTGTGGTGTCCTGGTTGAAATGCCTGCTCTCTAGCCCTGGCCATGCTACTCAGACTCTCTGTGCCTCTGTTTACTCATCTCTAAAACCAGGATGAAACTAGTACCCATCTCACAAAATTGTGAAGATGAAATGAGTTAGTACATAGAGTATACTTAGAACAGTGCCTGGCATTTAGTTAGTATTTAGTGAATGTTAGTTACTAATAGGAGTTCCTGGGTGGTGCAAACAGTTAAGTGCTCAACTACTAGCCAAAAGGTTGGTGGTTCAAACCCACCCAGAGGTGCCTCAGAAGACAGGTCTGGCAATCTGCTTCTGAAAGGTCACAGCCTTGAAAACTCTATGGGGCAGTTCTACTTTGCACACATGGGGTTGCCATGAGTCAGAATCGACTCGATGTTGACTAATAAAAACTATAAATAATGACAATATTCTTCTTACCATCTTTATTTAAAGGCTTTTAGCTTTGTACTTAGAGGTTAATAATACCTCTTTCTTTAATCTCTTCATTTTCAATGCATTTTGTCATCCAGATTCAGCAGTATTTATATTTTCTTTTTGGTCAGGAATCCTTTAAAAAGGAGTACGTTTTGTTTAAAAAGTTCTTATATTAGTACAAAACACCTCCCTTAATTATGAATATGAAAATCATTGATCTCTAGAAGGCTCACCCCTGCTGTCTTAGAAATGTACTTCAGTTTAGCAAAAAGTCCCTTTATCATTTCCTCTAAAGATCTTTTCATGATCACTACTGGTTAATACATAACTGAGAATTAATTTTGCTGTGCTACAGTCTAATTTACTTTCTACAAACAGCAGTGACTTGAATGCTGCCCCTCCTTCCTTCCTTCCTTTTCTCTTTAGTTTTTAAAAACTCTTTTTAAAGAATTAATGTGTTTGAAAATTAGATTTTTTTGGTAGTTGTATTCATGTAACAAGCATTTATTATAGCACCGACTACATGTGCTGTACCACACCAAGATAAATAAGGCATGGAGCCCGGAATATGTAGGCTTCTAAAATGACTATGCTACTCCTGAGTAAGTGCTTTATAAGAGATCTAAACAAAGTCCTTTCCAATGCAGGAGAGTCCTGTCCAAAGCAGAAGAGAAAGCAAAAGTTGCTGAATGGGGGAAGGTTAGTCTGGATATTGGCCCCAGCTTTCTCCAGTTTGGTATTTTTCAGCTCTTATTTTAATGTAGCAAGAGAACAGATTCTGCTGTGTGTATGAGAAGGAATTGAGGTAATTTTGTGTCCTTAGTAAAGTGTGGTTTATTTTTTCACATTTCCTCCTCCAAATGGTTTAGCCATGAAGGTTCCAGGAAACCCATTCATAGTAGGCAAAACTCACCAAATTAACAGTCAAAATGAGTTTGTTTTTTCCTCTTATTCCTCCATTAAGGGGATATTTAACAGAGAAAAGATTTTTTTTTAGTTCAAGTCTTTAAAGCTAAGAAAAAGAAATGTAAACTGGCTTTCTGCTTTGATACAAATGTGGCTTAGAAGTAACTATTAATAAAGCCCCAGTCAATATTTCCTTTTTCTTTGTGATAATTCCTTACCCATTGCTGTCGAGTCAATTCTAACTCATAGCACCCTATAGGACAAAGGAGAACTGCCCTATAGGGTTTCCAAGGCTGTAATCTTTACGGAAGCAGACTGCCACATCTTTCTCCCACGGAGCAGCTGGTAGGTTCAAACCACCGAACTTCCAGTTAGCAGTCGAACGCTTAAGCACTGCACCACCAGGGCTCCTTACTACGACTAAATCAATAAAGTACTTGAGCTGTAACGTTTTATAGAAGAGAGTACAAGTAATTTTATAGATAAAAAGAATGCTCAGGCAATTAGCATTACTCTAATGTTTTAACTACTTCTGTTAATGTACATTATATGTATGTAATTGGGTTCATTCTTTGTGAATATGCCTGTTCTGTCTTTTCCGTTTCGCATGATTGTAAACTAGTGGTTTTTGTGTATAGGTGCATGAGAGAATTGCCATGAGATTTTTTCAGACTCAAGGTATTCATGTCGCCGCCTCACACTGTGGTAAAACCACTGATTCATATGAAATCATGAAAAAGGAGGAGGAAGAAAGAAAATGAGATTTTGTGTTCAAAAAGATTGGAACTCTAAAAACATAAGTTTGTGTTTTCATTGTATAATCACAAAAGAAGGAACAATGTACCCAACTCTCACTAGGAAGGGGACCTACATAGTTTGAAAAAGGTTCATGGATAGTCCCATCTATTTATTTTGTAATTACTGTAGTGGCATTTGATAATACTAGAAGATTTTTATGAAAAAAAACTTCAAACATAAGGGCCTAATTTCTACTTAGCATTTTCCCTTCAAGAATGTCATGACTTAAACCCCTGACTAAAAGGCTGTACTATGGATGGCAATTAGTAAGAATTGAATAAGGTATTCTACTTTGTCTTTAAAATGACTTTATGAAAATTAGAAAATTTGCCCATGTGCAATCATGGTTTTCCAAGAAATAGTTTGAATACGTAAGTTGAAAGTGTTGTGTGTATATAAATCACTCGATCATTAACTAATGCTTTTTAATTAATAAATTGCATTAGTACTCTTCATGTTGGGCATCTTTGAATGTCTTTCATAGTCAGAAAAGGTTTAAACAAAGCCCTTGCCACTGAGATATTACCACATGAAGTAACCTTTCGTTTAGCAGAGCAGGTATAGATTATAACCTTTTTAATGATACTTGATTTTCTACTCCACTGTCACCTATAATAAACACCTGTATTAGACATTTCACCATCTTTTTCTCTTATTTGATATTTCCTACCAATGTTACCAAGTATTCCCAAACTGATGAAAGTGAATATGCTTCATCAGCATTTTATCTTACAGTGATCTGTTTTATAACATGATTCCATGACAGGTGTTTATGGCATAACTTCTATGTTTTAAAAGTGGGCAGTGTGCTAAAGAAAGTATGAAGACAGCTGATTTCACTGAAAGTGATTGCTATTTAATAAAATGATGTGAGAAAGGACTTTAAAATTCTAGACAGACAGGTATAGTTTTTATACCTGACCAGGCCTAAAGAGATTTGTTACATATTATTAAGCCAGTTATTGGAATAATATTATTCCAAGTTATTAACTTTTTGAAAATTTTAGCAGTTTTTATGACATTTTAGAAAGTTTTCATGATGGGACTTCTCTATTGACAGGTGCATTCCTTGTAAAGGTTCTCGGTTTCCTCCCACCCTTCCACGACCTGCCGTAGCCATATTATCCTTTAAGCTTCCTTACTGTCAGATTGCGACAGAGAAAGGACAAATGGAGGTATGTGGACATCTCACCTTGACACACTGAATTTGATAATACACTGCCTGTGACTCAGGCATTTGAAAATAACTGTGATGTTGAGTATTCACCACTTAATAATTAAGTAGTGGTAGCAGGGAGGAAAGAGGACTGCTTATTGCGGTCACTGCTTCTAGTGAGTTTGTCGTTCAAGTAAGCGGATACGTCTGTCAGGGCCACATTGGGTGAGGCCTTCGCTCTCAGGGTCCCAGCAGCGCCTGAGACGGAGCACCTCCATAAATTCTGTGCCACAGGCACTTGCTTGCCTCACCCTAGTCCTAGCCCGCATCATCAAAAGTTGTTTGAAATCTTGCAATTAGTTGATCTAAATAAGAACCATTTCAGCTGCTAAAAAACCATTTTACTGAGTTCTCTGAGCCTTACCTCCAATAGCCAGGAAACTGTTTAAAATGCTACATGTCCTTGTTTCGTTTGTTTTTCAAGGAAAGAAGACAATGTCGAGCCTTAGTATCACATTGGAATTTGAACTGTAAAATAAGCTATAGAAAGGAGGATTTCAGAAAATAAACTGAAACAAACGTGTTAAGATAAATATTTAACACTTGCCTGGTATTAAGGTAATAGTTGGCTCTAAGCAATTTTTTCTACTTTTATAGGAACAATATTGGCGCTCAGTTATGTTTCACAACTACCTTGATTATTTGGCTAAAAATGGTTACGAATATGAAGAGAGCACTAAAGATCAAGCAATAAGAGAACAACAGGAGCTTTTAATGAAAATGCTTGCGGTGAGTAAAATCAATATACTGTGCTGAAAAATTAACGGTAAATGGTTTTCTGTAGGTTGACTTTCTTATTGGTTTATAAATTAGCACTAAGTTCCACAGGCTAAGATTCTTCAGTCAAATCTGGTAGTGTTTTTTTTTTTTTTTTCCTTTAAAATTTCTGTTTCCCAATTGATATTGCAGTTACAATATTTAAAACATTAGCTTGTTGTTTCTAGGATCATATGGTAGGCATAAACTTTTCTGGTGCTGCTTCCCCTTTTGGTTTTCCTAGGACCCTAAAGACTACTGCTAAGTGATATCTAAGGTCAGTGATTCTCAACCTGGCTGCACATTAAATCTGAAAAGAAATTCTGATATAATTGGTCTGAAGTAGGAACCAGGCATTTGTTGTTATTGTGGTTGAGTTCCCCAGGTGATTCAGATATGCTGCCACAGTCGAGAACTGTTGTCCTTTAGATAGTGATTCTTAAAAGCATGGCCTTTCCACCATCCTCCCACACCCCTATCCCACCTACCAGCAGCATCAGCATCACCTGGGAACTGGTTAGAAATGCAAATTCTCAGGCTACACCCCAGCTTAACGGGCCCTCCAGCTGATTCTGATGCTCAGCAAAGTTTGAGAGTCACTGCTTTAGCTCCTCCTGTTATTAAAGTTGGCAAATAAAGTTTGAGTGCAGGTTGTTTTTAGATCTCCAAGGCTGGATAGCCTTAAAAATTTTGATCAGATTTTTAGCTATGCCTGCCTTTTGTCATCATCTTTGAGAATTAGGCAGCTGTGTGTACTGAAAGTTTGTCTATAGCTAGTGACCAGGTTTGGTGCCATGTATATTTTAGTACATTTATGTTTGGAGCAAGGTATATTAAAGTTCATATGTTTATATCCTCACTCCAGGTTGGTTTATGGAGAAGAGTATAATTTCTTCTCTGCTCATCTTGCACTAGACTGTAAGCCCCTGGACGGCAGTGATCATGTCTTGTTCACTGTTGTATGCCAGGCACTGACACAGTTCCTACTACATAGTAAAAACTAAAAAAAAAACCCATTGCTGTTGAGTCGATTCTGACTCAGGCGACCCCATGTGTTACAGAGTAAAACTGTTCCATAAGGTTTTCTTGGCTATCATCTTAACAGAAACAGATAGCCAGGCCTTACATGATACCACTGGTTGGGTTCAAACCGCCAACCTTTAGGATAGTAGTTGAGCGCAAACTGTTTATATCACCTAGGGACCTTAATACATAGTCCAGTTGCCGTTGAGTCAATTCTGACTCATGGTGACCCCACGTGTGTCAGTGTAGAACTGTGCTCATGGCTGTGACCCTTCAGAAGCAGATCACCAGGCCTTTCTTCCAACGCATCTCTGGGTGGGTTCAAACTGCCAATCTTTCGATAGTAACCCAGAACTTAACTGTTTGTACCACCCAGGGACCCCTTAATAAGTGGTAAACACTCAGTATTTCTTGAGAGAGTAAATGGTCCAGATTTTTCTTTTTAAAGTTGGGGGAAAAAAGGTTCTGAGGGGGAAAGTGGTACCTAAGACCACAGAACTAATCATAACCCCAGTCTCCAAATGTTGTGGTTCACTACCGTCATCTTTATACAACACTGCCTTGAGTTTAATATTAAACAATTTTAATTACTTTAGTGTGGGATTATTTTTGTTTCTTTTATAAAGCATCGTTTGTGGTTCAGGAACTAGCAGCCTTTATACTTCTTGCAACATGTGTAAAGAAAGTGTTTGATTTATTTACTATTTAGCAGTAGAGCTTTTCCTTTGGAGCAGTGTTTCTCAGCTGGGTAAGGTAGCTTTGGGGATTGGTCATTTCACCTTTAACATTCCTGGCCCCCATGCAAATGCCCATAATTCACCCTAGCCAACTCAAGAACCATGCTTGTAGCTCACCCTGGCCAACGTGAGAACTGTGACTCTAGCCAACTCAAGAGCCATGCCCGTAGTTCACCCTGGTCAACTCAAGAACCATGCCCGTAGCTCACCCCAGCCAACGTGAGAACTGTGCCTATAGTTCACCTTAGCCAATGTGAAAACCAGACAATCCCCTTTCGTTTCTGTATGCTCCCTGGTGCAGAGTACTACCCTGATTGAGAAGTACTTTTATTGACAAGGAATACTAGAAAAACTTAACAAGAAAATATAGGTGAGTATCTCAGGCATTCATGCTGATTGATCAGATGTGTGATGTTAAAGTAACAATAATCCTTCTATTATATGAATTATGACACCCTTAACGATCTTTGAAGTATCAGTTTTCCTCACCCTGTACTTCATTGGGTTGCCAAAATTCATACCAAAAGGAAAATAGTGTTTTCTAAGAGATCTTAAATGAATACCCTTCATTTTATATTATAAGTCACCCCCACCTGAATTTACTTAGTAGCAGTTGTGTGCCAGTTCTGGGCTGAATAATAACTGATTTGTTTACAACTTATTTGTTTTTTTAATTTCCTACCCTGTGTTTTTTGGTGGAGGGGAGAGGACTGGGGGCTGGAAAACAAATTTGGAGAAAGTCTCTTGCTTTCTTGGCAGTTAATTACTTGAAATGATATGCCATATTTCATTGAATCTAAGCCACTATTAGAGTCTCTGGGTGGTGCAAACAGTTAATGTGCTCAGCTGCTAATCAAAAGGTTGGATGTTTGATTCTACCTGGAGGAGCCTTGGAAGAAAGGCCTGGCGATCTACTTCCAAAAAAACCAGCTATTATAAACCCTATGGAGCACAGTTCTGCTCTGACACATGAGGTCATCATGAATTGGAATTGTCTCAACTGGTTTTTTGAGCCACTGAGGCAGAAAAAAAGTACTGCCAATTAAATGCTGACCTGCCATCAATTGTAAGACACAGCCCAATTTTAGAGATGTTAAAATATGTAAAAGTGTGTGTCTTAGCATCAGTGATGTACAGTGTCTAGAAAACAGCTTTCTCAGTTTTACCAGTGGTGCCAGTCTTTTATTTTCAAAAAGTTTTGCTTAACAAGATTTGATTTTTTTTCTTTCTTTTTTCGGTTAGCTTTCTTGTAAATTGGAACGGGAATTTCGATGTGTGGAACTTGCTGATCTGATGACTCAAAATGCCGTGAATTTAGCCATTAAATACGCGTCCCGTTCTCGGAAATTGACATTGGCCCAAAGACTTAGTGAACTGGCTATGGAGAAGGCAGCAGAACTGGCAGTGACCCAGGAGGAGGAGGAGGAGGAAGAGGAAGAGGGTTTCAGAAAAAAGCCGAATGCTGGGTAAGAAAAAAAAATTCAGTTACTTGAGTTTTGTTTTACTACCCTGAATATTAAATTGGTCTTTGTGTAGCTCTTTATTGAGTAATACTATTGTCTTTTAGTTACTATAATACTGCCTCAGAGTGGAGCCAACCAAGGCTTAGAAATCAAGTTGAAGAAGATGCAGAGGACAGTGGAGAAGCTGATGAAGTAGAAGAAAAACCAGAAATACATAAGCATAGTGAGATACATTTTCAAAGCAATAATGATGAGAGATGCCATGGGTGTGGCTTTCCCCGTTTTACCTGGCTGAGGAAAACTGAACACCCGTACCTTTTGAAACACGTTTACTGTCTGATTGTTGAATAGAGAAGATGACTTTGTCCTCCCCGTTTACATTGCAATGTTTTATCTTAATTATAGGACAGAACTCATTTTCCAAAAGTGCAAATTCCTCTGACATGCCACCTGTTAAGTCAGGTGAGAAATAATTGTAAATTTGTAATATCAAGGAAATTTTACATGTAGTCTTTCAAGTGATACATCTGCTCAAATATGCCTGTTTTTTTTAATCAGAGATGTTTGTGAAACTGGTCATTTAACAAATGTATTCAGTGCTTCTTGTATGTCAGGCATCTGGCTAGATGGGGGTCCAGACAGCAAGCAGACATGCCTGGTTGATCTGTGCCATAATGCTGTTTTAGCCCAGCAGGGAAGACAAGTATTGAACTTGTAATGATAATGTTCCTGAGTGTCACTAAGGAGACATGCAGGATGCTGGAGAAACAGTTGAAAGTAGCTGCCTTTGGGGCATGGGGCTGGGAGATAGAGAAGGTTGGAGCAGGGCGTTGCTGATTTTTTTTTTTTTTTTTTTTTTAGTATTAGCATTAAACTTTAGGACCATTTGGCTTTTTAAACCATGTCCATATATTACTTTGGTAAAAATTAACTATTAGAAAGTATACAGATTATTAAAAGACCATATAATAGGTGTCTATAATCGAGTCAGTCCAGGGGCAGGTAGAGACACCCCAAGGAAAACCTCTTAGAAAAACAAGTGTTTAAAGCAAAGGCCTGAAGGATAAGAGTCAGCTTGGCAAAGGTGGATGGGAGCAGAGACAGGAGAAAAGCATATGGGCTTAGGGACCAGCATGTGCAAAGACTGTAAAAGAGTATGTGTGAAGAGCAGAGAGAGCAAAGGGAAAGTGGTGCTGGATGCTTTTGAAGTGATGACAGGAGCCAAATCTTGCAGATCCGTGTAGGCCATAGTAAGGATTTTGATCTTTATTGTAAGGTCCCTGGGAATCTGTTGTTGTTTTTAGGTAGGGGCATGGCATGGCATGCTGTGCTGAGGAGGACTGGATATAATGAGACAACCGAGGCAATCCAAGTGAGATTGAATAGTGGCTGGGGCTAGAGTGGTGGTGGTGAGGGTACAAAGAATGGGAAGAATTGAGGAGGCATTTATGAGGAAAATGTAGAGAGTATGGGAGTTTGGGTATGAAGAATGGCTCAGTTTTTGGCTTGAGTTCTTGAGTGAATGAACGATGGTGCCATTTACTGAGTCAGGAAACACTGGGAGAAGTAGGTTTTGATAGGAAGACGATGAATTACTAATTAAGTAGAATGTCACATAGGCAGTTGGATGTTTGGATCAAGAACTCAGAAAAGGAGTCTGGGCTAGAGATAGAAAATGAAAATCATTGGCATAAGTATAGCAATTAAGTCTATGGGCATGGGTGAGTGAGCATTGGCTGAGGATGTAGAGCGAGAAGAAAAGTGGGCTTAGGCCTAGGGAGGCCCTAACATTTAAATACCAGGTAGAGGAGCAGGGGAAACCATTTATGGAGAAGGAGACCAAGGGCGAGAGAGGAAGCAGAAGGGCCAGGAGAATGTGGCATCTCAGAAGTCAAGGGAGGAGAGAGTATCAAGAAAAAGCACCAGTCAGCCATGTGGAATGCTTTCAAGAGGTCAAGTACAATGATGACTGAAAAGTATCTACCAGATTTGGCCACATAGAGGTCATTGGGGGCCCTAGCAAGAGTAGATTGTATAGTGTAGCAGGGCTAGAAGCCAAATTATATTGGATGGAGGAACATTATGAACGGTAAGGAAATGGGAACAGCAGTGTAGATGGCTCTTCAGAAGCTGGCTATATAGGGGAGGTGAGAGAAAATGATGGCTGGAGAGTGTGTGGGTTGGAGAGAGTTTGTCTTTTGTTAGTTTGGTTTTAAGTTGAGAGACTTGGGGAGCCAATCAAGAGGAAAAAGTCAAAGACAGGAGGGGGAATCATTGATAGCTCAAGTTTCTTGAGAAAGCAGGGGGAGGTAGCTTCCAGAGTACAAACAGATTAACCCTCACTAAAATATGGCAGCATTCTTCCATGGTAACAGGAGGAAAAATAGATCTACATATATTGGGTTTTTATGTTTCATAGTGGCAAATTGGGCTAGTTCCTATCTAATAGCTTTTATTTTGTCTTGGAAGTAGGAAGGAGGTTATCTGTAGTTGTTAATAGTTTTAAAGGTGGGAAGTACATTTATTTTTATATAGTATGTTAAAATATTCCATCTATTGTTATAGAAGTCAGAGTCATCTGTTTTTTATCAATATTAAGCAAAGGTTTCTTTCTGCTTGTGAAAGGTGCAGTTATCTCTAGCAACCAAGGACAAGCGAACCCCTTCAAGGTAAGCTCTTTGCAGTGCTATTTTCTATTATTTAAGACATCTGTATTGAGAGGAATATTTCCAAATGACCAGATGACCCTCCGCAGATGTGGAGGCATTAAAGACTAAAGTAGATCGTTGTGAAAAAAAGGAGAAAGCAGCATCAGTTCACACTTGGGCTAAGAATTATATTTTCTACTTATCTTCTCAGTGCCTATGGTTTTGAAAAATACTGTTTTTTCTTGGGGATGTGGTATTTTGGGAGTATGCATATCGGTCTTAATTTGGATTGTACCAAATACACTAGTAGTATTTTCCAAAGGTGAGACTGTAATGCAAACTTTAAAATTTTAAAGAAATATAAGTATTTCTGGGTTTTTTTTTTTTCTCTTTATACATAAAATGCTAAGACTAGTTTGCTCTTTAGGTATCAGTCAGTTCCAAAGAGCCAGCCACTTCGGTGAATACAGCACGTTCAACTAATATTTTAGATAATATGAATAAATCATCCAGGAAATCCACTGCACTTAATCGAGCTGCAAGTAACGACAAATCTCCAGTTATAAAGCCTCTAATTCCAAAACCAAAGTCTAAGCAGGTACTCTTTCGGCTGCTCACATCTGCAATAAACAACATGTGACCTGTTTGTCTTATTTCAGTTTGTTCACTGTTTCAGGCATAGGACAGGAGGTGCGAGGTGTTTATAGTTGATTGTCTAGTAGGGCAGTGGTTCTTAATTCTGGCTTTGCTTCAGAATCATCTGGTCACTTTTAAAAAAACATATATACCCAGACCCCAGGGACTCAGGCATTTATCTTAATTTTTTTTAAAACTTCCCAGATGGTTCTGGTGCATATTCTTGTTTAATAATGACTAACTCTAACCTTTCCTTGTTTGATATTCTGATTTTGCCTCCTCTAGTAAGGATTTTATCCCAGATTTGTCATCAGTCAAAGGGATCTATTGTTTATCTTTTCTGTTTCATATAATTTTAGTCATTTAGAAAACATGAAATTTGAAGTGTAGCTTTTTGGTTTTGTGTGTGTATGCATGTTTATTTTAACTGAGAGCCTCAGGACTTCACACATTAGTTTAAGAATTTTAAGTAATTATAAATGTTTCTTCACATTTTTCAAAACCTGCCTATAACTTATAAAATCACACTAGGTCTTGCTGCAGTGTTCATGTTCGTTTTTCCAGGCATCTGCAGCATCCTATTTCCAAAAAAGAACTTCCCAAGCTGGTAAGACTGATGAAGTGAAAGAAGAAAATCCGAAAAATCTATCATCTGAAACCCCAGCTGTATCTCCTCAAAACACTGAGAACCAAAGGTCAGTAAGCGTAGAAATTGAGTGTTCTTAATATGCTGTCCTGGTAAAATGCATACAGTAACAGCAATATAAAATTATGCAACTCTGTTATTATAACTAATACATTGGCACAGGTGGTGGGTGTTCAGAACACTTGTAACTTTTAAGTATTAGGTATTGACAAGGATAGTCCTTATTCCAAGATGATTAAGGGTAGGAAGGAGTACATTTCTGATTTTTTTAATTAGTAACTTATATCGAGAGGCATTATAGCACAGTTGTTAGAAACACAGATTCCAGAGCCTGACTGCCCAGGTTTGAATACTAGCTCCACTACTTATCAGCCAGGTGACCTTGGACAAGTTCCAGCCTCCTGTTCATGCCTGTAAAATGGGTATAATAACAGGTAGGTAGATAAATACACGAACCTACAATTTACACATTAAAATATACTTCAACAAATTGTGTATTTTAAATTGTATATACATTTTATCGGGCACTATATTTTATAATTTTTAAAGTTTCAAATTTTTTTTTTAGTTCATTTTTTTCTTTTTAAATAGATAATATATTTACATGTGAGGAGGAATGAAAAGGTACAAAAAGATATGTGGTGAAAAGTAAGCCTCTTTCCTACTCACCCACTTCTCTCCAGAAACAGTCACTGCAATAAGTTTCTTATATACCCTTCCAGAATTATTCTGTACATATACAAACAAGTATATCTGTCTTTTTTTTAGTTTTACACAAATAGTAGAACATTATACACATTGTTCTGTAGCCTTTTTTTCCCACTTAATAATAGCTTTTGCAGATCATTTTATATTATAACATAAAGAACTTCTTTAATCTTTTTACATTGCATGGAATGGATATACGATAATTTATTTACTGCTCTACTGGTAAGCAAAAGGTGGTTGCTGGTCTTTTGCTAGTACAAACAGTACTTCAATGAATAACTTTATATCAATATAATTTCTCACACATGCAAATATAGTTATAAGATAGATTCCTATATGTTTCAAGTTAATGTGCACTTGTAATTCCAAGATATTGACAGATTGTTCTGCATTGATGTTGTATTGATACAGTCCCAGCAACATGAGAGCTCCTGTTTGTCCATATCTTCGCTATGTTAGATTTATTTTAAATGTACTCATTAAATTGGAAAAATCACCATTTCATTTTTAGCATTGAGTAGTATCTTATTTTACTAGTAACCTAATGTTAACCAGTTTAATTTGCGGGAATAGCTGTGATTTTTATTTTTTCCTATTTTGTTCTGAATTCTATTTAGATCCTAAACAGTGACTTTTTTATTTAAGAAGACTGATAATTCAATTTTTTATACTCTCAATTGGCTATACAGAAAACTCACTTTTTGACATCTTGTTAAGAAATTATTATTTAACTGAAAATTTGGACACAAATGTTGATATGCTAAATCAGAAGAGAAATGTCTGATTTTCTTTTTCTTCCTAAAAATGGAATTGTTTAGAGACATTCAGGGAGATTGCATGTTGTTAGCTAGACTTGTGACATTGCCTCAAGATTGATTAAAATGTGTATTTATTAATTTCTGGAAACTCAAGAACCTTTTGTTAGCATTGCTTTTTTGTTTGTTTTGTTCTATTATTTTTCTGGAAGTAAGATTACATTAAGAAGATTACTTGAAATTTATGTATTTTTAGAAATTGGACAAGTGGTTATAGCCATAGTATTAATATATTTTAATAACTTATTTTTCTAAAAATTAAAGTTCATTGTAGAAAATTTGGAAAATACTTAAAATTATAAAGACAAACAAAAATCACCTAATTATTCAGAGGTAATAGTTTCTTTCTAATCCTTTTTAATGAATTTAAGATTTCATACTTAATGAGGTTTATATTAGGATATAATTTTATACCCTGTATTTTTGTTTCCATTCAAAATTTTATCATAAACATTTTCCCCTGGTATTTATGCCACTTATTTTTTGTGTGGATGTAGACTAATTATTTAGGATCAGTTCAGCTACAGCATATGGAGGCAGTATAAGTGTGGGGAGTCTGGAATCAAACTGCCTGGCTATTGAATCCCAGGTCTGACTCTATGTAATCTTTAAGTTATTTCATCTCTCTGAGCCTCTGTTCTCTCATCTATGTACCTACCTTATAGGGTTGTCGCACATTAAATGAGGATATACACAAAGAGTTTAGAACAATGCCTGGCAAATAATAAGTGCACAGTAAATGTTGAGTATTTGCATAAAGTCTTCACTAGCAACTTAAAGACAATCTGTGTCAGAAGTGAAGTCGAATAGAATTTACAAATGTGCTATGTTCACGCTTTGCATAATGATGATACAGGGAAAGACCCAGGCTCCCAGGTTATCTGTGAGAGGTGAGTGATGGGGAAGGGGTTTGAAAGATGCCGTGATGTTTCAAATAGCTGGTTTGGGAAGCAGACAAAGAGCCTACCAAGGACACATGAAGAGTTGTACTGAGCCAGAGGGGCCAAGTGACATCGTAGACCTCGGGCCTGTCAACATTCATGGAAGAATTGGAAGTGCAGAGTATATGGTTATTACACCTGGAAAATGCTATTGTGGGTATTCCTTTTGAATTGATCTTATGAAGGATTTTTCAGTTCATTAATCTTGCAGTCTCTAGGCAATTTTAAGTAATATGAAGTAAGCAAGTCTAATCATGTCTCCTATACTTTATTACAGGTATGCAAAGATTAATGGTTAATTACTAACTTGAAAAATAATGAGTCTTAAGTATAAATTTTTCTCATATAATTACTATTTTAGGCCAAAGACTGGGTTCCAGATGTGGCTAGAAGAAAATAGAAGTAATATTTTGTCTGACAATCCTGACTTTTCAGATGAAGCAGACATAATAAAAGAAGGAATGCTTCGATTTAGAGTACTGTCCGCTGAAGAAAGGAAGGTAAGGGTAATTGTGCTGAGCTCTTAGTGAATTCTCAGGTTTTTAAAATTCTAATTGGAAATTGAATACATCCAGTAAATTCTTGGTGGAGAAGAAATTAAATCATTGAAATGCCAACTTTGAGTTTGTAGCTATGTAGTAATTATTATTTGATGCTGATGGTTAATTTTTTGGCATTTATAATGTTTACATTTGTATAAGTCACTGTATGTTGTAAATTAAATACCCCCCAAAATCTGCATTAGTTATACATCAAAAGCTTAAGATTAATAAGTATAAATGAAATTAATTTACATTTTTAGACTACTACTTTAGAGTCCTTGCAAGCAAAATTTTGTAAAATGCTGTCTACTTACGTATTGAATATTAAATGAGAATGTTTCTTTTGGGAAAAAAAGGATGTGCTGTTCCAGCCTTTCACATGGAAATTAGAACAGTGACTTGTACCTGTTGCTCCTCATGTGAATTTCTGTCATGTAAAGGAAGGCTACAAGCAGCCTTGTATTGTAAGAGAAGGAACCTGTGTGGTTCTAAATCCTCAGACTTCCTTTCCCCAGAGAAGGCAGTGTGCTGCATGGACACCTAGTGACATAGATACTTGCTTCGATAAACTGGGTTTTATGAATAAAGTTATTGCATAATGAGGAAGCTAAAACTGGCCTAACCACCTCTGGCCCCATTTAGAGCCTCATTACAACTTTGTGTTTTTCATTCTTCGTAAGTATTTATAAAGAGATGAAAATTCTAATGAATTAGATAAAATGATATCTGAATGAATAAGACCTTATTGCTACAAAAGAGGAAGAAACTAGGTGTCTTAGTCATCTAGTGCTACTGTAACAGAAATACCACAAGTGGGTGGCTTTAACAAGCATAAATTTATTTTCTCACAGTTTAGGAGGCTTGAAGTCTGAATTCAGGGTGACGGCTCTAGGGGAAGGCTTTCTCTGTCAGCTCTGGAGGAAGGTCCTTATGTCTTCTGAGCTTCTGCTCCTGGGCAGTCTTCATGAGGCTTGGCATCAGTCTTCCCCCATCTCTGCCTCTCTCGCTTGCTTGTTTAATCTCTTATGTCTCAAGAGGAACTTGGACGTAGACCAAGAGGCAGTTGTTAGAACAGAAGAAGGGGATACTGTGTGATTTAAAATCAGGAAAGCTGAGTGTCAGGGTTGTATCCTTTCACCATACTTATTCAATCTGTATGCTGAGCAAATAATCCGAGAAGCTGGACTATATGAAGAAAAATGTGGCATCAGGATTGGAGGAAGACTCATTAACTACTTTCGATATGCAGATGACACAGATGACACTTGGCTTGCTGAAAGCCAAGAGGACTTGAAGCACCTCCTGATGAAGATCAAAGACTACAGCCTTCAGTATGGATTACACCTCAAAATAAAGAAAACCAAAATCCTCACAATTGACCAATAAGTAACATCATGATAAATGGAGAAAAGATGGAAGTTGTAAAGGATTTCATTTTACGTGGATCCACAATCAACACCCATGGAAGCAGCAATCAAGAGATCACAGTCACCTCATATGCATGCAAAAGCTGGACAGTGAATAAGGAAGACTGAAGAATTGATGCCTTTGAATTATGGTGTTGGCAAGGAATATTGAATAGACCATGGACTGCCAGAAGAACGAACAAGTCTGTCTTGGAAGAAGTACAGCCAGAGTGCTCCTTAAAAGCGAGGATGGCAAGACTTTGTCTCACATTCTTTGGACATGTTACCAGGAGGGACCAGTCCCTGGAGAAGGACATCGTGCTTGGTTAAAGTTAGAGGGTCAGCGAAAGGAGGAAGACCCTCAGTGAAAAGGACTGACACAGTGGCTGTAACGATGGGCTCAAGCATAGTGACGCTTTTGAGGATGGTACAGGACCAAGCAGTGATTTTTTTCTGTTGCACATAGGTTTATTTTTTCACATTTCCTCCTCCAAATGGTTTAGACATGAAAGTTCCAGGAAACCCATTCACCGTAGGCAAAACTCACCAAATTAGCAGTCAAAATGAGTTTGTTTTTTCCTTTTATTCCTCCTTTAAAAGGATATTTAACAGAGAAAAGATCTTTTTAATTCAAGTCCTTAAAGCTAAGAGACAGATAAGAAATGTAAAGTGGCTCTCTGCTTTGATATAAATGTGGTTTAGAAAGTAACTTAATAAAACCCCAATCAGTTTTTTTTCTTTGTGATAATTGCTTACCCATTGCCGTCGAGTTGATTCCGATTCATGGCACCCTATAGGACAGAGTAGAACTGCCCATAGGGTTTCCAAGGCTGTAATCTTTACAGAAGCCGACTGCCACATCTTTCTGCCAGGGAGCAGCTTGTGGGTTTAAACCACTTACCTTTCAGTTAGCAGCTGAGTGCTTAATCACTGCGCCACCAGGGCTCCTTACTATGACTCAATCAATAAAATGTTTGAGCTGTAAAATGTTTTTAAAGAAGAAAGTAAAAATCATTTTATAGAAAAAAGAATGCTCAGGCAATTAGCATTACTCTAAATGTTCTTTCCTTTTTGGTAATGTACATTGTATGTATGTAATTGGGTTCATTCTTTGTGAATGGGTATCATCTGTCTTTTCCATTTTGCATTGATTATAAACTAGTGGTTTTTGTGTATAAGTACATGAGAGAATTGACATGAGATTTTTCTCAAGCTCAGGGTATTCATGTTGCCACCTCACACTATGTGGTAGAAACCACTGATTTATATGAAATCATAAAAAGGGAGGAGGAAGAAAGAAAATGAGACTGTATGTTCGAAAAGATTGGAACACCTAACAACAACAATATCTCAAGAGATTGACTCAAGACATACCCTACACTAATCCTGCTTCATTATCAAAGCAAAGTCAATTTATTCCCAAACGGGATTATAACCATAGGCATAGAGGCTAAAATTTACAACACATTTTGGGGGGACAGAATTCAATTCCAAAAGGCAAAAGTTGTTATTGTGTTTTTGAATGCTAAAAATGTAATCGATGTTTTCAGGTAAACCCTAAACATTTATTTAGATCTAATCTGTTGATGTGGGAAATTTTACAGCTCAAAGGACTGTTTTCCTCAACAAATAAATATCAAGGGAAATAAAGTAGGAGGAGAAGCTATTATAGATTAAAGGAGATTTCAGAGGCAGATGAAATGAATGGACCTTGCGTGGCTCTTCTGAGTGAATAAAAGCCAATCCCAAGAATATATGCTGAATGACTCATTTATATAATATTTCTGAAATGCCAAAATGATAGGGATGGAGAACGGATTAGTGGCTGCCAGGGGTTGGGAATTGGGTGAGGGGTGGTTATAAAAGAACAACATGAGGGATGCTTGTGGTAGACTGTTGTGTGTCTTGACTGTGGTAGTAAATACAAGATCCTACAATACAAGTAAATATACATAGAAACACATACAAATGCGTAGAAATAAAACCAGGGAATTCTGAGTAAGATCCATGGATTGTATTGATATCACTGTCCTGGTTGTGATATTGTACTATGGTTTTACAAGCTGTTATTGCTGGGGGAAAGGGCACATGGGATGTCTCTAATATTTCTTAAAACTGCATGTTGAGTCTACAATTACCTCAAAACTAAAAATTTCATTTAAAGAAAAGTATCTGCAGTTATAGTATTTTGTACTTAATACAGTTAAACACAAGCAGAGTTTAGATTGAAATATTATAGAGATAGAATGTAAGTGCTCTGCAATTAAGTAATAAAAGATTTGTTAACAGTAAGGACCCTTAATGATTAGTTTAACAATTCAAGCGCTAATTATGCTGCTTTTTGTACAGGAGTGTTACCTGAAAAAGAAATCATTTCCTTTCTACTTCTGTTATTGCCTAAAAATCCTTTCTCTTTTTACCCCCAACATTTTCGCAAAGGCATGGACTGACAAGGCCAAAGGAGGAACTGCAAGTGATGGAGCTGAAACAAAAAAGCGGAAACGTCTCATCGATGAAAATAATGAAACAGAAAGAACAGAAAGTCAGAAAGAAGAAACAAAGGAGAATCTAAATTTGCCTAAAAAGCGAAAACCTTTAGATCTTTCTACAAATCAGAAACTATCAGCTTTTGCATTTAAGCAGGAGTAAATGGAAAAAGTGACCTTAGGAAAGCAAGGGGTTTTTTACTCATCTGTGATGAATCTGAATTTTTTTTTTTTTTTTTCTTTTAGGAAACTCATTATATATATTTTAAAAGAGTCTAAAGATAACTGTCTTTATAAGATAATGTAGTAATTATGTTTGAGTAGGTGCCTTGCCATGTGTAAAATCTATCCTTTGCAGATTACTCTGTCCCTAAGATGGCTATTCAGAAACATTGTGATTGTGGTCACTGACTTAAGGTCACCAGCATGTTCCCATGGAAGCCAGTTTGATTTTGTTTCTTACCTTTCAAATCATCAAAACCAAGGTTGTAAAACCTCTGTGCATTGACGTACCTTCTAGGGACTTCCTTATTTGGTTTATTTCAGGTACTGGAAAGCACCCCAGTAGTCTTCTACCCAAGTGTGTTACTATAGACTGTTCTCTGTGTCTGTACTGGACTTATCAGACCATGTTTTTATTATGGGTCCTAAACATGTAAATAATTTTGTAGGTGAGACTTTTTCTTTTGTATGTTTTGGAAATTGCTTCAAATATGATTTCTAGTTGTCTGTTGGTATCGCCTGATTTTTAATAAAACTTTTTAACATTTACATATTTGGCTTGTTACGGTCTTAACATTGTATTTGCATTTCCCGAAAATAAATTTTATAATTACTGCCATAATTTCTACCACTGCCACCACCCTCATCCTGCTCTGCAGTATGCACACAGTAGAATAGAGAAGAAATGTAATATGCTTTGATAGTTATTGCAGCCCAGGGCATAATGTGCTCCTGGTAGGAAACCCCAGTTATCAGCATCAGCAGTACTTGTTTGAGCACATCTTGGAAGACTTGATAAGAGAGTAGCTAAAGAGTTAAGGAAAGTGTTTAACTTTTTTTTTTTTTAATTTTGAACAGACAAGGTTTAATTATTCCATACATTTGTGGTTATTATTCCAAGCAGAGACTAATAAAAATGCAGTCTTTTGATCTACATTCTACCTTGGTGAGTAGCGTCTGGGGTCTTAAAAGCCAGTGAGCAGCCATCTAAGATACTCCACTGGTCTCACCCCTTCAGGAGTAAGGGAGAACGAAGAGAACAAGATACAAAGAAAAGATTAGTCCAACGGACTAATGGACCACAGCTACCACGGCCTCCACCAGACTGAGTTCAGTACAGCTAGATGGTGACTGGCTACCACCACTGACTGCTCTGACCAGGATCACAATAGAGGGTCCTGGACAGAGCTGGAAAAGGATGTAGAACAGAATTCTAACTTACAAAAAAAAAAAGACTAGATTTACTGGCCTGAGAGACTGGAGAAACCCCAAGAGTATGGCCCCCAGACATCCTTTTAGCTCAGTGATGAAGCTCCTCCTGAAGTTCACCATTCAGCCGGGGATTGGACAGCCTCATAAAAGAAAACAGAACTAATGAGGCACGGCAGTTCAGGGACAAGGACTAGAAGGCAGGAGGGGACAGGAAAGCTGGTGATGGGGAACCCCAGGTTGAGAGGGGACAGTGTTGACATGTCATGGGGTTATTAACCATTGTCATAAGGCAATATGTGTACTAACTGTTCAATGAGAAACTTTGTTCTGCAAACCTTCATCTAAGGTACAAAAAAAAAAAGAATTATGTGAGATCCAATTGACAACAGCAACTCAAAAGATTTGATGGGATGCCTAGGGGACAGTGAGTTGAAGATAATGGTGATGGAATAATTTGGAAAGGATAGTGAGAATAGCAGCACAGCTGGAAGAATGTAATTGATGTCATTGAACTGTACATGTAGAAACTTTCAAAATGGTGTAATTTTGGCTATGTGTATTTTCACCAATAAAAAGGTCCTCAAGGTCAAGAAGGGAGAGTGTTGACACATCGTGGGGTTGTTAACCAATGTCATAAAACAATATGTGTACTGACTGTTTAATGAGAAACTATTCTGTAAACCTTCATCTAAAGTACAATAAAAAAATTTTTTAAAATGCAGTCTTTTAAGGGCAAAGTACTAGGGAGAAAAAGTAAAATTAAGTCAGATGGCTTAAAATTTAGGGTAGTTTTATTGGTTGAAAGGAGCAAAATATGTTGGAAATTTAGATGTATAGAGGACAAAAGATAATCCTTATCTTGAGATGATTAACGATAGGAAGGAGTACATTTCTGACATGTTAATTAGTAACTAGTATTGAGAGGTATTAGAGCACAGTGCTTAGGAGCACAGATTCCAGAGCCAGACTTACCAGGTTTGAATATCAGCTCCACTACTTACCAGTTGGAACCCTGTTGATGCACTGGTTTAAGAGCTTGGCTGTTAACCAAAAGGTCGGCAGTTCAAATCCACCAGCTGCTCCTTGGAAACCCTATGGGGCAGTTCTTCTCTGTCCTATAGGGTCGCTATGAGTCAATTGACTCAACAGCAACAGGTTTGCTTTGGTTTGATTCACTTACCAGTTGGTTGACTTTGGACAAGTTACAGCCTTCATCCTCAACTATAAAATGGGTATAGTAATAGTACCTACTTTATAGGGTTGTTAGGAGAATTAAATGAGGTAAAAGTTCCTGGCACATAGTAATATTTTATATATAAGTGTTAGCTATTATTGTTATGCTACTGGCTATTTCATCTTGCTTTGTCATTAGGTTTGGTTCTGAATACTGTATAAATTAATTTTGATTTCAAGATCCTGAAGTAAAGGTTTATACTTTGGAAAGCATGCTTGTAGACATGTATTTTGTTTTTATTTTCTCAATTTGGTTGTAGTACATAGTGTATAATACTTAAATCCTTCAGTGTTATATTTCAAATTCATAGAAACCTGGTAATATCAAAGATTTGCAAAAGGCTTTTTTAACCACCTACTTTATTTGATGGAAGAAAGGTTTTGGTTTAACTTACAAATCAGTTCTTTGAAACTAAGAATTATCCTTATTCCCTTGCTATGTAAGATTTAACCTCCTTTTTTATACTTTTTCAGAGAATTGGGACTTAATGGTAGGAAAATGGAAGTGGAAATAAATTAATATCTTAACCAACATCATGATCTCAATAATACTGCCTATTCTAAGCTTATTGTGTATTGTTGAAAGCTGCTTTATGCTTAATTTCATTGTCCAAAAGCAATGACTTCTCAAAGAGCAGGTTATTTTACAGCTTTACACTCATCAAAAGAGCATCATCTAGTTAGTATTCCAGAGAACAGGTGAGTGAAGGTTGAGGTTATGCCTGGCAACTCTGGGGAGCATGGCAGTTTACAGCCTCTCATATCTGTGCAGCATCCTGTAATGAGCTACTGTTACTAACATGGAACAGATGTCAGGTGATCCCACTGGACAAAAGGATGAGACCCATCCATGCAGAAAGCATCTTAACAGGTGACTGGTTGCCTTACAAGCCTTTTTTGTTTTCCAGCTGTTACTGTAGAAGTATATAATGTCTCCCCAGGTTTTATTTGGAAAATTTTTAAACCTACAGAAAATTTGAAACAGTACAGTGAACAGCCATAATACCCATCATCTAGATTGACTTACTGCTGACATTTTGCCACATATTCTTTGTAAACTTTTTTTCTGAGCCATTTGAAACAGACTGCATGGCACTTAAGCTTTCAGTATTTCAGCATGTGTCCTCTATGATTAAAGAAAGAAAGTCACAAACCAATCCCACTTGTGAACATAGATGCAAAATCCTAACCAAAATTTTAGTAGGCCATAAAGGAGACTGGAGAAACCCCGAGAGTATGGCCCCCCGACACCCTTTTAGCTCAGTGGTGAAGTTATCTCCGAGGTTCACCGTTCAGCCTGGGAGTGGACAGCCCC